TACTGTGCGCATATGCAACGACTTGAAAGCGTTGAACAGTCAGATTGTCGTCGAAAAATTCGTTCTTCCCACAGTTGACGAGTTGTTGGTCAAGATAACTGGCGCGCGATTTTTCTCAAAACTAGACCTGAGGAAGGCCTTTTTCCACATGCCATTGACACCAGAATCCAGACCACTTACGGCTTTTCTGTCCTCGAGTGGTCTATTCCAGTACAAAGTCTTGCCGATGGGACTTAGCTCCGCTCCAGCAGTTTGGCAGAAGTTTATGAATCACTCACTAGCAGATCTACCGGGACAAATCGCTTACATGGATGATATATGCGTTTTCGGGAAATCAAGAGATGAGCACGACTCAAGGCTGCGCGCTGTGTTGCAGCGATTGGAGAGCCTAGATCTTCGGCTAAACCTGGAAAAGTGTATATTTTGTGCTACGGATGTCGAGTTTCTTGGGTACGTCTTATCAGCTGGTGGAATTAGACCATGCGCAGCTAACACTCGAGCTATCACGGAAGCCCCTGTACCGAAGAATACATCCGAGGTTAAGCACTTTCTTGGTTTATGCTCGTACAACTTGCGCTATTTGCCCGATTTTGCAACTATAGCGGAGCCATTGAGAATGCTGACAAAAGAAAAAGCTACGTTCGATTGGGGCTCTTCGCAGCAGTCGGCCTTTGAAGAAATTAAAAGACGCCTCGTCTCCACCCCAATGCTGGCCATTTTCGACGAAAACTGCCCAACATTCGTCTTAACGGATGCGTCAAACATCGGTTTAGGAACGGTCTTGTCTCAAATTCAGAACGGTGAGGAGAAAGTGATTGCATATGCTTCTAGAAAGTTATCCCCTACTGAAGTTTCATATTCCGCAGGTGAAAGGGAGGCCCTGGCCTGTGTATGGGCCTGTGAAAAATGGCACCTGTTTCTGTTTGGTCGGAGATTTACATTGCGCACGGATCATGCTGCTCTAACTACCCTCCTCAGCCGAGGAACCAATGGTCACAGGCCACTACGGATTAACCGCTGGTATGCGCGGTTACTGAACTATGATTTTCAAATCATTTTCCGCCCTAGCTCCGAGAACCGTATGGCAGATAGCTTATCACGTCTCCCATTGGATGATTCCGACAAGAATGAAGACGACGAAGAAAAAGTCATGATTTCTGCTTTACAATCAAGTGAGCTCTCCGCGGTTACTAAACAAGAGCTTCAAGAAGCTAACCGGAGTGATTCAAATGTGCAAGATGTCATTCACTATCTCTCTCAAGGCTGGCCTCGCTACGCGAAGTTGAGTGGTGAACTACGGGCGTTTTGTGTTTTACGACATGAGCTAGCGGTCGTTGACGATTGCCTTATGCGAGGATCGCGATTCGTAGCTCCACAGAAACTGACATCAAAAATTATCCAATGTGCACACGAGGGACATCCGGGTATCGTACGGACGAAGCGCCGACTTCAAGAATACTTTTGGTGGCCAAAAATGAATAAAATGGCAGAGGCGTGTGTCCGGTCTTGCGATGCATGTCAGAAGGCCGACAAGAGCTCCAAACCGATCGATGCCCCCATCCAACCTGTTACTTATCCAATGAAACCTTGTTTCATTCTGCGCCACAGCACCAGAGGAACTGCTTAGTTGCCACGTGCTATTACAGTAAGTGGCCGGAAATCCATTTGTGTGGCGATGTGACCACTTCAACCGTTATACGGTGGCTGAAACATCTGTTTGCTAGATTTGGGTTTCCTGAGGAAATTGTGACAGACAACGGACCACAATTCACGAACTATGAGTTTAAACGTTTCTTACAGCTTCGTGATGTGAAGCACGTACATACTGTCCCGTACAACCCAGCTGCCAACGGCATGGTTGAGCGCACTAATCGCACGCTAAAGGAAACTATACAGACAGCACGTTTGTCCGGCAGGCAGTGGGAAGATGCCGTTTTGGAGGCTCTGTTTACTCACCGAACATCGCACCACAGAGCGACTGATCGCACCCCAGGTGAGCTGATGTTTGGCAGGAAGTTGCGTACGAAATTAAACGCAGCTATTTCGGCTGCAGAAAACAACGACCCCCACCAACTGGAACGTCGCCGGGGATATCAGTCATCCTACGAAAAACGGGCCACATCGCTGCGTCCTGGAACGTTGCTCAGGCTAAAGGAAAGGCAAACACGTAAAGGAGAACCGGCACTGACGAGACCCATCAGAATTACTCGTGCGCTAGGGCCAGGAACTTATGAGTTAGCAGACGGCCGACGAGTCAACGCCAGACAGCTATATTCAGCACTTCAACCGAAGCAATGTCCTGAAACGAGGGCCACCGCAGTGAACCAACCGCTGAAGAGGGGGAGTAGTGTGGTAGCCCGTACGCGCGGGCCTTACCACGACCGCACTTCGTAGCCTGTGATTGGATGCCTGTCCGTTCGCGATCAATACCAGAGTTGTTTTGAATGTACTGAGTGCATGTACCGTTGGCGTCAAGAAAAGTTTGTGTTGCGTACCTGTAGAGTTCTGCTTCCTCGTTCGGGGCTTTGGTCGTGTTTGTTCAAGACCCTGCGTGCAGGGGACTAGTGTACGTGTAGATACAACCGTTATCTTCAAAGTTAAGAGGTTTCACCAGTATTTATGGGGAAACGTTTTCGAGCTTCATACAGACCACAAACCATTGATATCCTTGTTTGGGGAAACCAAAGGTATACAACAAATGGCATCACCGAGGATGCAAAGATGGGCTATAACCTTGAGTGCTTACAGTTACAAGATTGTTTATATTACCGGCGTCAGCAACTGCACAGCTGATGCCCTCAGCCGTCTACCGATCACGGAAACTGCACATGAACACGGCCCTCCGTTTGAACTGGTTAATCTAATGCAATATCTAGACACAACACCGATACGGAGTTCAACAATCCGTCAATGGACGGATCGAGACCCCGTGCTATCAATGGTGAAAGGTTTTTTGTACATGGGTTGGCCTCCTGAAGGGACAGTTGAATTACAACCGTTTATGATTCGGAAGAACGAACTGAGTCTATTCGACGGCTGTGTTTTTTGGGGCTCTCGTCTAGTCCCTATCACCAAGGCGCGTTCACAGATACTTAAAGATCTCCATGATGCTCATCCAGGTGTGGCGAGAATGAAGGCACTAGCGAGAGGGTACTGCTGGTGGCCCAACATCGACTCAGACATAGAGAACTTACTGAAGAATTGCGATATTTGTCAGGCGTATCAGCGGAGCAAGGCGCCAGGTCCAATACACCCTTGGCGTTGGTCCGACAAGCCCTGGCAGCGTATCCACGCCGACTACTTCGGACCGATCGACGGGACCATGTTTCTTCTACTTATTTATGCACATTCTAAGTGGATTGACGTACATCCAGTTACTCAGGCGACGGCCGAATCCACCATCACTAAAATGCGCTCGTCCTTCGCTACGTTTGGCATTCCGGAAACCATTTGTACAGACAATGGTTCGCCTTTTACCAGTGCCGAATTTGGTAAATTTGTCATCAAC